ATTACCCAATTTGCGTCTCTTTCTCTCTCTCGATCTATTCTATTACTTTTCTTAGCACTTCCTATTGATACAATGGGTCATTTTTTTGGAACTCAAGGGTCATGGCAAAGATCGGAGCTTTCAATTTTTTAATTTGGGATTTTTGTTTTTAATGTGAGAAATTAGGGTTTTTGATGCAATATTTGGACTGTCAGTTTTGTTGTTGACGTGTATCATGCAATTAACGGCGTTGGGTGATAAATGGGGGCCTAGATTCTGAAAATATCTTAAAGATTTGTAGTTTAGATATGTAGTTTACAAATCTTTGACCAGAACTTAGATTTTAGAAATCCCATTAAAAATCATCTCTTTCCAGTGATATGAACAGAACATGCACACGACATGCTCATAGATATGAGTCAACCCAAAAACTCAGAGCTCACAACTTTCTCTTTGAAATAAAAAAAAAAGACATCATCACCTGTGAGCTTTTACATTTTATATGTGGGCATTTCTGTCATTTCGCTTTTGTGCATGGTCGGTTTGTCCTATTTCAATCTTAAGATTAAGAAAATTGGTCATTTTTTGGCAATTTCCCAAGAATTTAAGTAGTTCACCTCTAAAAAATAAGTTACGTTCACTGTAGTGATCAGATATATATTTAATGTGGCTTACTAGAGCATTTTACAACAGTGAAATGAAATTTTCCTCTTGTGGATCCAGTTGCTTATGAGGGGTACTCATATAAACCTTGAGTGAGCTCCTTAACTTTTAATTATCTACGGTCGTATTATTTGATGTGTGAACATGTGGATGTGGCCTATAATCTATTCCTCCATTATCTACTCGACATGCGGAGAGGAAGTTACATTTACACAGAGCGCATCTAAATTATTTACTGTTGACATGTAACGAGCGTAGTGGTCGTTAGAGAGTGGTCGAAGATCACTTTACTTGAGCGCTAGGTCTAATAGTATTATGTCCCTTCATAGACTTCTATTCATGTCGATGTCTAACACGTGGCTCTAAGTTAACTCCTGAACAGACATGTATATGGAGATTTGCGCCATAAAGTTGTCTAGTCCGCTAACTAGCTTGAGCGGTTAGAAAGTACTTAAAGTTATGTGGTAGTCTTTTTTTGTCGGTAGACAATCCAAAGTTATGAGTGGTCATTTGATGATAGTCGTCTTTCATTCCCGTAGTGTTGTTTTGTCGTCAGGATTCTTTGGGCTGGATTGCAAGCCAAATGTCTTATCCTTTAATGGGCTCTCTCGAGGCCCATCCATTTGGCTAAAAAGAAACTATATATTATTTAGATAATGCTAGGTTAGACCATCTCTAAAAAAATGTCAAAAAGTCCACATCAGTAATAACAGTAAAAAAAGACAGCATTAGTGTTTTCAAACTGAAATTCCAATTCATATGTGGCATGACATGAAAAGGCAACTGAGGGAGTTGTTGTCAAATTTGACAGCAACCTCAAATCTATTTTTAGTGGGTAATACATTTACAAAAAGATCAATGTGCTACATAAGCCTTCAAATTTAAATACATCTCCTTTGGAGATGGTTTTAGAATGCAAAGTTTTTTTCTTTGTCATATCATTTTTCTCAATAATTTTTATTAGTTTTATAACAATGTAATTTTGTAGTTTTGAATTATAATATGGGTAATTGTAACATCCCACATCGTCCGGAGAAGTGATCCTTAAATGTATATTCTCATTTCTACCTAGCACGAGGCCTTTTAGGAACTCACTGGCTTCGAGTTCCGTCGGAACTCCGAAGTTAAGCGAGAAGGTGGCCAGAACACTCCCATGATGGGTGACCCACTAGAAAGTTGCTTGTGAGTTCCCAAAAACAAAACCGTAAGGGAATAGTAAGCCCAAAACAGACAATATCGTGCTACGGTGGTAGAGCGGGCCCGGAAAGTGGTCCGCCCTGGGCCGGGATGTGACCAATGGTATCAGAGCCAATCCCTGGCCGGAAGTGTGCCGACAAGGACATCGGGCGCCTAAGGGAATGGATTGTAACATCTCACATCGCTCAAGAAAGTGATGAAATTTCAACCCTCGATTCTCATTTTGTAAAGAAAGAAACAGAGAGGAGAAAGTGAGAGATGGAGACAGATGGGGATATTCTGCTTGAAGTGGTGGTAGTGCTGCTACTGGTATGAGGATTGCTATAAGAATTACTCCACAACAACAACAACCTCTGCATCAATTCTTCAGTGATGTGGGGGGAGTGGTTGCTCTCTCTCTTTCTCTCCCTCCCTCCATCCGTATTCGGATCTTCACAACAATAACAACAACCCATCTCTTTCCCTCCGTATTCGGATCTTCACAACAACAACAACCCATCTTTACTTTTTTCAACTCCCCTCCATTAATCGGATCTTCATAACAACAATCCATCTTCGCTTTTTTGGATATTTTTTTGTTTGGAAAAAATAAATTATTACCCAATTTGCGTCTCTTTCTCTCTCTCGATCGATTCTATTACTTTTCTTAGCACTTCCTATTGATACAATGATTCATTTTTTTGGAACTCAAGGGTCATGGCAAAGATCGGAGCTTTCAATTTTTTAATTTGGGATTTTTGTTTTTAATGTGAGAAATTAGGGTTTTTATGCAATATTTGGACTGTCTCAGTTTTGTTGTTGACATGTATCATGCAATTAACGGCGTTGGGTGATATATGGGGGCCTAGATTCTGGAAATCTCTTAAAGATTTGTAGTTTAGATATGTAGTTTACAAATCTTTGACCAGAACTTAGATTTTAGAAATCCCATTAAAAATCATCTCTTTCCAGTGACATGAACACGACATGCACACGACATGCTCATAGATATAAGTCAATCCAAAAACTCAGAGCTCACAACTTTCTCTTCGAAATAAAAAAAATGACGTCATCACCTGTGAGCTTTTACATTTTATATGTGGGTATTTCTGTCATTTCGCTTTTGTGCATGGTCGGTTTGTCCTATTTCAATCTTAAGATTAAAAAAATTGGTCATTTTTTGGCAATTTCCCAAGAATTTAAGTAGTTCACCTCTAAAAAATAAGTTACGTCCACTGTAGTGATCAGATATATATTTAATGTGGCTTACTAGAGCATTTTACAAAAGTGAAATGAAATTTTCCTCTTGTGGATCCAGTTGCTTATAAGGGGTACTCGACCCCATTATATAAACCTTGAGTGAGCTCCTTAACTTTTAATTATCTATTGTCGTATCATTTAATGTGTGAACATGTGGATGTGGCCTGTAATCTATTCCTCCATTACCTACTCGACATGCGAAGATGAAGTTACATTTACATAGAGCGCATCTAAACTATTTACTGGTCGACATGTAACGAGCGTAGTGGTCGTTAGAGAGTGGTCAAAAATCACTTTACTTGAACGCTAGGTCTAATAGTATTATGTCCCTTCATAGACTTCTATTCATGTCGATGTCTAACACGTGGCTCTAAGTTAACTCCTGGACTGACATGTCTATGAAGATCTGCGCCATAAAGTTGCCTAGTCCGCTAACTAGCTTGAGCGGTTGGAAAGTACTTAAGTTATGTGTTAGTCTTTTTTTGTCGGTAGACAATCCAGAGCTATGAGTGGTCATTTGATGATAGTCGTCTTTCATTCCCGTAGTGTTGTTTTGTCGTCAGGATTCTTTGGGCTGGATTGCAAGCCAAATGTCTTATCCTTTAATGGGCTCTCTTGAGGCCCATCCATTTGGCTAAAAAGAAACTATATATTATTTAGATAATGCTAGGGAGACCAAAGTTTTAAACCAAATTTACAAACAAAATGATGTGTCACCAATAGAAAATAAGCACATTAATCAACATTTAAGTAGTAATCCAATCATCAACATCCACAACATTTGGTTTATAAATTTGGTCTCGCTATGTTACTATTTTAAGGGTAATGTTAGGGAGGCCAAATTTGTAAACCAAATGATATGGTGGTTGATGATTGAATATTACTTAAGTGTTGATTAACGTGCTTATATTCTATTGGTTACACATTATTTGGTTTGCAAATTTAATTTAAAATTTTGGTCTTTCTAGTTTTATCCTTATTTTAAATATTCTAAAAGGACTATGCGTTAACAACCCATTCAACATGCAACAACTTTAATAAAAACCCTTCTAATTTATTTGCCTATTTTACCGTTCATTAACCTATAAGAATTAATTAAAATTCTTAACTATGCATTCTTCTATTCCCTAATTTGAATTTTGAATTATTAACAATGATAATTACGTGTGTCTAAGATATTCAAACTCTTATTTAGATATGAAAAAGATTAAACTAATAACTAATAATGAAAGATTTAGCAACCAGGGAACTCTTCGGTGTTTTGGACCATTTAGATTTGAAGCAATGTGGCTGCTGCACGCTGAGTTTAAGGATTTTGTGAAGGAAGCCTGGAAGAGTGTGGATGGTCTCACCCCCTTGGATAGATTTAAGGGAACTTTAACAAAAAGCTCCTGATACTGTTCACTTTAACGAAAAACCATATTTTTACACTAAAAAATCAATCCTCATACTATTCACTTTACCCTTTATTTTGTCCTTATCGTTAAAACTCAAAGTTTTCAAATCATTTTCGTTAGTTTTCATTTTTTTTCAAACGTCAGCAACAATTAGGAAAAAGAGTAATGAAATTTGTAAGGTAAAAGATGGTGCTGGGTTCTGGTGGAAGATTGGTGAGGGGCTAGAACAAGTTTTTGTGCAAGACTTTAAATTGCGTTTTTCTTGTGCTAACCCTCCTAGGCTTGCCAACATTGAAGCAATGGCCAACATTATTGAGCCTTATATCTCAAGTGAGCAAAACAACAGGTTGCTTATGGTGGTAGAGGAAGCTGAAATTTGGGAAGCTGTCAAAGGGATAGGTGCGTTAAAGGCCCCAGGTCCTGATGGACTTTGTGCTGGATTCTACCATGAATGCTGGGATCTAATCAAGGACTCAATCATACCAATGGTAAAAGATTTCTTCCAGAATGGCTCAAGCTTAAGACTAATTAACCATACAAATATTACATTAATAACTAAAGTGGAAACTCCAGAAGTCGTAAACCACTATAAACCGATAAGTCTTTGCAATGTTAGCTACAAAATTATTACAAAAATTATAATCAAAAGGCTAAAGCCTTTACTGGACTTGTGTATCTCGAGCAACCAAGGTGCCTTCAAGATAATATATTAATAGCTCATGAAATATTTTCAAGTTTTAAAGGTAAGAAAGGTTCTATTGGTGCTCGTTAGGAATTTTCGATTCCCGAGAGCTAAAAACCTGGGAAGGCAGGCACACATCTTAATCAAAGTGAAAAGTGACGTTTGAAGATTACATCTAGCATATTTCAGTTAATGGTACAACAGCCTCTGAGTTCCATGTTGCAAAATTGGCTGTTCAGAACTGCCCGTGTCTTGGGTTGAGAACGTTACTTGTATATAACCAAGCCAACAGAGCACGTGAGATGCCTACTGGGATGATCTCTGCTGTCGAGTATACTCCCACAGCGCAATGGCACCGCTGACATGAACATTTAAAGATCTAACAACTCCCAACTGTGGAATCTCAATGCAAGCATCCAGAATATGAATGATATCCACCGGTATACCTTCCTTTTCACGCCCAAGGACTAGTACCTATACAATTGATTGGATGAAAATTGAGTAAAGCTACAATGTCAACTGGACTTTCCCAAATCCGATCACTTGCTAGATTAAGATTAAAGACTGGGTTCACAGAGTAACGCACCGTCTTTTTAGGAAAGCTATACTGGTCAAGCGGTACACTATTTGCAGTTTGCTCCAGTCCCAAAATTGAAAAGCCTTCTCGTTTCTTTCTCTCAAGGAAGACCTTCAAACTATCCACTGGGACTTCAATGATAGGAACCCACTTTTCTGCAGTCACACTGGGGAAAAACAGTAACTAATTTACTAAGAACAACATTTGAAAAATCCACTTCAGAACACAAAATATAATAGACAAATAATAAGCCGAAATATACCATCATTAAAATGAATAGCCTTGTAGTATACAAGAGGGAGATCAGTTTGTCTTGCAACAAAATATGGACATACAAAACCTAATTGGCAATAAAGACATATTTAAATAATTTCTCTAGGGCAGTTACTACATTCTCTTAAAAGGAGGTTACATTGTTTTTACTTTAGATATTGTTGATAATTGGACCTTATAACCTTCAATTTGTTGCCGATAATCATATATCCTTCAAAAGTCTTCTATGTTTATATTATGTAAATGTATTGTGGATAACTCTTAAAAAAATAGAAGGTTTCGATCATTGGACAACATCTCAAGATTGGTCAACAACAATTCTTACTCAAATATAAACCAATATTCCAAGAAATAAGCAGTTTATTGCTCACCAGAAATCCCTATGTTGTGCCACAAGTAGACCACCAAAGTGACTGGAAATTCTTTGCGAAGTCATAATGGTGTGCGACGTGCAGTGTGTCACAAGTGGGGGGCACAGATGTACCACACATTGGAAACCTAGAGGCTAGAAGGTCTTTTTAATGAAAGATTAACACCATTTTGGAATTTTTGTTTGATTTTATTTATGTGGGGGTTACTGATGAAGGACCAGGCTCTGCATCCCTAATTTTGGTACCCTCAGGTGTTATAAAACCCTGAGTTTACCAACCTATTTTACTTTTAAAAAGCTATACTATATTTCCGATATCAGCAAACCAACACAAAACAAAGCACTAGGATTAAGTAAGGACTTAGAGATGCATGTAATCTAAGTAACAAATGGATAGTGCCGAATTAGTAACAAACCTGATGAGCTGGAACTGTTTGTCATGTACTACGTTTGCATCCGCAACAGCCAAACCCGACACCTTAAACACCTGGAAAGAAAAATGAAGCAACAGAAACTCAGCTAAAATACTCTTCATGCATAAAATCAAGATCACAAGAGTGGATAAAATGCCCGTTATAATCCCCATCAAACACCTCACAAGTCCGTGCCAGGCCAGCAAGGTTAGGTATGCGATCAAGAAGAGATGCCACAAGAATGAGTTGTTGTCTGCTTGCTCTCTCTCTTTCCATTGCCTGACTTCTAGACTGCAGCACCTGAGCAAGAAGCTTATCTTCCTTCTCCATTTCTGTTTAATTTCAAATCAGATTACATTAATTTCATGTCTGTTAGAAGCCTGCTTTTAGAATGGAAACTGCTATGGAAGCCAACAGTTTTCCGAACTCTTGTTTTCTCAACCTACTAGGTATCTTCAAATTGAGCACTATAACAATGTCCCTTGCTTAACACAATGATCTGATGTGGTTATATCATGTGCAATGTGAGTTGGGAGAAACATGGAAATAGGTAGGCATTTTCCTTTAAAAGTTTGACTATTCACAAGAAATTTAACACCTAAGAAGTTATTCAACGAAGTTTTTACATACCTTCAAGTGGTTTGTAAGTGTCTTGGTTGCCAAAGAAGGAATTTACGGCTATATCATGCTTCTCATGTTTAGAGAGGGTAATCTTTTTTTGAAAATCCAGTGAAATATCTTTGGGCTGCTGGGTATGTGAGTTTCCTTCATTTGCATTAGATGGTATTGCTATGCAATTTTGATCTTCATCAGATCTTAAGCTTTCATTCTTAATAGCCGCAGCATCTTTTGCCATTGAACTCCGAAGATCTTCCCTGACATCCTACAATGCTAGAATCTGAGAAGCCGATCATAGAAGAAATAGCCAGTAGAAAAAAAATATAATATATACTTACATTTAAAAAGTTGAGCACTTGCTCCGTAAGTGACACTGGTACACATTCAAACTCGAGTGCCTTTAATACAACAAAAGAAAACTTGATTCAGATATCCCTGATTTACCAAAAGCAGAGGTAATCCTGACTATCAAGCACAAAGATTGTACACAACTGGCAGTAACAGGGAGGAAATGGCTTCGGTTGTCTTTGCATGTTAAAGTGTTACACAACTTTGTTAGGTTTTTCCAGCCCATGATAAGTTGTCCTAAGTCTATAAGGAATTATAGTCTTAAAGGATTAAATTGTTTTCCCAATTGGAGTTGTTTTCCCAATTGGAGTTGTTTACCCAATTGGAGTTAGTTTCTCAATTGGGGTAGGATTTATAACTAGATTCCAATTAGGATTAATAATCTTTATTGAAGAAGACCTTTATTATGTCTATATAAAGGGGCTATTGTACTAGTTTTGAATTGGAGGGAGCAAAACAATAAATTGTATACCACTCAAGGGATTAGAGTGAGAGAATATTGTAAAGTGTGTGCGAGAGAAAAGAAAAGAGATAAGTGTATTTCTTGTTCTTGTTCTTTCAGGTTTTTCGTCAAGTCCTAGTTCTAGAGATTTGGCAAGATTATTGGTTGTACCCATTATTGATATAGTGAAAGATTGTTGTTGCTGTCCCGTAGACATAGGCACATATTGCCGAACCACGTAAATTCTTGGTGTTATTTATCTTGGTTATTTGTTTTTCGATTTCCGGAGTTTGTTCTATTTTTCCCATTCTTAAATGCGATATTCTCAACAAACTTTATATTATATATATATATATGTGTGTGTGTGTGTGTAGAAATAAGATATGCGTATTATTCTTGCTTTATATTCTTTCAATTGTCTCATATTTTGATTATGCTTCAAATCCATCTTTCACTTTCTAGAATATTTTACTGTTACCTTTTCAACAACATATTAACAAGAGGAAAAGACAGAAATGTACAACTTTAAAGAAGGTAAGAACTACAGTGCTAAAAAAATACTTAATGCGAAGGATATTGTAACCTAACTGTAGCCCATCAAAAGACCCACCTCAACCCGGTTGATGAAAATCCCAGCAGGAGTGACAGAGCTACTGGGACTGTAGGCATCAAGAAATCCTCCCATTGATGCTCGTAGGCTGAAATGTAAACAAATCAAACTGATATCTCGGATCCCATTAAAATCATATGTATATGAGGCATGAACCAAAAGAGCCTTCCTTATGCTAAACTTGATTGCAAGCCAAAATACATACATTTGTACATATGTTTCACATGTAAATTGATTGACTAATCTACCAGTGAACAAACTTATTCCAAGTATATGGTCTGCTAGAAATCCATATATGTTGGATATAAATCTGATCTGATCATCCTACTTAATCAACTTGATCAATAGCCATTTATTTTTATTTATTTAATTTACCATTTTGGTTAACTTATTCTATCCTCGTATATGTACACCCAGGCACATAACAGCCATCCTCACCAGGTTAAGTAATGAAAATGTAGATCTTAACCAATAAAGCACAAACTTAACCCTAAACACTCTTAGGAATAGATAACTGGTAATGACAGTTTTTGGACAAAGAATTAATAAAAATGCAGGTGACAGTATAGTTTAGGGAGGAAAACCACATTGGGATATCATACCGCACACAATCATAGTTCTTTGCCAGGTAGGATTTCAAATCCTCAAAACACCTCTTCTCTAAAGTCATAGTTCCAGAGGCCCTAGAGTCCAATGGAGGAAACAATTTGCAGAGAACTTGGTAAACCAATAACTGCAAACATAATCAACACACAAGAAATGAATGAGCACTACAAAAAAAAAAATTAGAATAGAGTTAATTAACTATTTATTCACCAACTTTGAAATAGCCAACCTGGGCGAAACCACGCAAACTGTGGTGATGGGATGTTAGTAGTGGAAATATAGGAGGAAGTAATTCATTCAAATGCTTGTCTTGAACAGCTTGAGATGCATGGAGGATGACATTGGCTGCTATAAATACATATGAAGAGAGCGCCTGCATTTAATGTTTAGTAATTAGTAGAATTAATGTCTACTATACATCAAAGCATATTAACCTCGACTAATTGTACCAATGCACACAAATACAAGGAATTAAAGGGAACTTAAATCTCCTTAGTAAGTAATGGATCCGTGCACTTACAACAATCAATTGGAATGGTTAACCAATTCCTCTGACATCAACCAATGAGCCTTATATCGCATACCATTCTAAGATGCAATTCTGAAGAAAATGACTAACCAACGAAGAAACAAATAAGGTTTCTTATCGAAGATAAGATGTTTCTATAATTAGTATGACTAAGTTGTACCCACAACACAGCATGGAACAGCACCATTACATCAAAATTTCTAATTACACTGTTAAATGCTTTACAGTCACTTGGTCCATAGAGATTTGTTGATATTGGCATTATTTCTAGAATTTTCATCATATTTGCCGCCCCTTGCACTGAAACATGGGAAGTAAAACGAAGACAACCAAGAAAGAACTGCACAGGTTCAACTGACACACTCATATCATGTAACCATTCAATAGGCTCATCAATTTGGAGTACAATTTTCTATTCACTTTATTTTTCAATATTCAGTCTGTGGATCGGTCGTGGCAAAAATGCATAAGCTATATGCACCTCTTCGTATTGTGGCAGAAGCTATGCGATAGAAACACATTAGCAGCAAAGGTTAAATGAAACTGATCAGGAAAGTCCTAATTCAGCAAGTGAATTAAATGGGTTAAGTTCTTTTGAAAAATCAGGGATACAGGTTTTAATTTCAGTCTCAAGTAAAGTTCACCAATATTAACAGCTTAGGTGTCTTGTGTCCAAGCTTACAACGAATATTCATAAAAGTGACTGTAAGTTTCATCAACTTGGATTTGCATGAAAGAGGGTTCTAAATTACATCTACAAGGAACATAACGTTGTCAATAGACAACTGCAATCCCCAGAAGCTCTTCAGTAAGGTACCATTTAAAAGTGTGGTTCTGAGCAACAGTGTTCCCTTCTAACATCTCTTGCTCCTATAAAATCTAAAGATTCCAAGAGGTACTAAAAAACACTTTTCAACCAATAAGAATACGAGAGAACTGCAATAGTCAGAAACTGAGTAGTAAGGCCATAAACTCATAATGACTCCAAAATAATATTATACCTGAGGCCTCATCTCATAATCTCTTAATACAGGGACTAGTTGCTCCCCAACCTGCAAGTCCACCAATAATGTAGGAATTTATAAGTGTCGATCTCAGTTTTTAAAAGTGAGGATAGCCAAAAGGTAGTTTAAAAATTCATCGAAGACAAAAATTAAGAATCCAAACAGGAACGAAAGATCTCATCCTTCACTTAGGTCTTTGATCCAAACTACACAAACATAGTGCGACTGTCCAAAATATCTCCTCTGTCATTATCACTCAAACTCAACTTACGACCCGAGCCGAACCAAATAAGCAGATTTTCTTAATCAAAGTTTGTAAAGTTCAGTTTTAGTTACATGTCAATTAAATGAAAGTTATTTTATAATTAGACAAACCACATGCACAAGCCTACTTGTTCCCAAATATACACTTAAAAGTAGAGTAAGTGGGAATGTTACAGTTTAGCCACCTCCTCTAAAAACAAGTGCCGTGCAAAACATGTCCACTCTCATTGAATGAGGAAAAAAACATCCTTAAATGCCATAACTAATCAAACTACACCCGCATGCTCCCCTCGCTCTCTCACAACTATTATGAAATGCAAAAGAAAGCCTTACCAATGATGGGAACTTCAAGTACATATTAATTGCGAATGTTTCCAAGTATTGACGAACTGCAGGTAAATTGTTCATCTGCAATTAATTTTACAAGTAATTAATTAAACTAACAGATGAGTAACATTGTATCTCCCAAACAGTTACTTGCAGAGGGATATCTGCAGAGGAACGAGACCAATTGTTATGAGGCATTGTTTACTTACATAAAGGCATATGTGCAGGCAACGTGAAACTTCAGAAACTATATCTTGACATATGAAACGTGACAAAATACATATCATTTGCCACGCACGTACCTTACGCCTGTGGATCTGTTAAGATCAACAAAAATAAAAGTAAAATAAAAGAAATAAACATAAACAAACAGAGAGGTTGTAATCCCCACCTAATTATCCACAACCTATCTGCTTATTGGAAAAGTACAGTGTTAACACGTCTTATTATTGATTCAAGCCTGTTAACATGTCGTATTATTGTAAAAAAGTACAGTGTTAACTTGCATTTTATTTTCTTAATAACATCTTTCACTAGTCATTGACAGGAATTTCCATTGTAATTTTGTTTTTAACTTCAAACAATTACCATGGTTACAGTTTGAGCACTGAAAAAACTGAGCTCCCTATTCTAAAAAATTTAGAGGGAAAGGATACTCACTGCACTGTATTTCTTATACAGCTCTTTCGAAAGATCCTTGTCGTTTACCTACATTGGCAAATGATGTAATGGACATCAACACACCATGTTCACAATTTGTAGCATTCTATAGACAAAAGTAATATGAACCAGAGCAATGTATGGATAATGCATTGCAAGGAATTACCATTTTTGGAGATTTGAACATAATAGGATTACCTATTGTATGTTATAACACAATAGAAATTTCAAATGGGCATATGATATCTAATCAGTTACCAAGTAAATAATGCCTAAGTGCATATGGGGAAGCACATCAAGAAACATGGGAAAGCTATAAATTAGAAGACTCGGAAAACAAATTAACAAAATAAATACCGCAGAATCTAGAAGCTCAAGCAAAAATATTTTTCCAGATTCCAAAGCTGCATGGCAATCTTCATTTTCATTTGGTGATCCCACCATATCAGACAAGTCTGCTAGCTTGTAAAACAGAACAGCAACAGAGGCACGTGCATACAATTCTGTGTTGATAAATTCCTGATAAGAGATTCCAAAAGAATATTTAGATTATAAACTTCAAAAGTATTTAAGAAGTAACCTGGAGAGATTAAATGTGCCTACAATTCTGTTCAAGTTGTAACCAGAAAACATATGCTATCTAAGTGAACCAAAACAAATATAAAAACAAAAGAAAAAGAAAAGAAACAATTCCCTGCAGAGACTTATTATACTTGTATATGTTTTAAAGGTCCAGGTATTTGACTTGACCAAATTCGAGAAAAACATAATAAAAATAAATGACCTAAGGCAAGCAAGTTGCTTCTAAATGGAAAACCGATAAATATAGAAGTTTCTTAGTCATATGAACAAACTAAATTATTCAATACCAAAGGATCCATGTTGAAGGTGCCCAATGAAACTCTAAAGTATGCATATCAAAGGGACTATGCTGATGTCAAGGGTAAATTATTTGAAGGTGCCACAAAGCAGCTGTAAAGTACATATTTTCAACAACATATTATCAACAGTAATTCAATTACTAATGTAGCCTACTTTGGTAAGCTCAGGATCAGGGCCTTTCGCCAATAAAGAAACTTCAGTCCTTGTATCATGATTGTCAGCTAATTCACCTTCAAAGTCCTCATCGAATGCAACTGGGACAGTAAACATTCAGGTTAAAATTATATTGTATGAGAAGGAACTACATAAAGATCAACACAGCTCAATCATATAAGATGTGTAACCCACCAGAACCATGTAGTGACAGCAGCTTCAACTCCTTCACATAGTACTTTATAATCCTAGGATATGATAGAAAGAGGCCCGTTAAGTGTAATGCAGCAAGACGAATTGTGCGGGGACTTTTTGTGCCTTCCTCCAGAATTTTCTCAACAAACTGTACAAAACAAAAGGAAAAAAAAAAAAAACATGAGCAACAACCTTATACCTGTACATCGGTATTCAACAGAAATTCACTAGTGTGCATACATATGTGAACAAATTGTACATAGAACATCCTTCTATTGAGGGGTCCCTGAAATAACCTTGCGAGGCTCACTTCGTTATTTTTTCCAATGATCCAACCCCTATATTTTAATTCATACATCGTTGCAAAATTCTAGACAAATCTGAATCCAGTTGAAGTGAAGAATAGGCAAACATGGTGGTTCCAAGAAACATTAATATGACCACCAATTAATCCAATGGTCATATGGTTTCTGATTTGTGTGAATTTTTCCATAGATATGATCTTTGAGGGAAGACCTAAAAACTACACAGTTTAGATCAGTGAAATACAATTTGGTGTGGACGATACAAGGGTGCCCCTCAAATAAGCTTATTTGAGGGATACCTCAACCAGCTCACTAGATTATCTTTTAGGTCTTCCCATAAAGATCATCTCTACCTAAAATAACCTAAATCGGAAATCATTTAATTGTTTGATTAAATGGTGGTCATTTTAGTGTATCATTGAATCACCGTATTCGTCTATTTTCTTCACTACATTTAGATTATCTTTTAAGTCTTCCCATAAAGATCATCTCTACCTAAAATAACCCAAATCAGAAATCATTTAATGGTTTGAATAAATGGTGGTCATTTTAGTGTTTCATGGAATCACCGTATTCGTCTATTTTCTTCACTACATTTGGATGTCTCAATGGTTTTGAATATTTCTAACTTTTTGCAAGGATAACCTATGAATGAGAAATTAAATATAAATGGTTAGGATCGTTGGAAAAAGTGGCTGAGTGGGCCCCACATGTGTCCCTCAAATAAGGTTATTTCAGAGATCCCTCAATAAAACAGGACTGTACATATACATACATATATATATATAGATATATATAGAGAGAGAGAGAGAGAGAGAGAGAGAGAGAGAGACTACACACCCACTTCAGAGGCCCAGGTGCATTGTCATTCATATGCATGCTCTCATCACTAAATAGGGATGAATGCAGAACAGAAGACAAAAGTGCAGCAATAGGTGCAACCTTCCTCTTGTTACAACTGACATGCAAAATCCAAGAAGACTGAACCAACTGCCACATCATCTGAATAAAGCAAAAGTAAAATGAAGGTTTAGCTATTTCACCTGAAAATTTATCTATGAATACTTAAGACATCAATTTTGACAGAGGCGACTTATGCATTAAAATCAAATGGGTATATCAACAAAAATGAAAGCAAGAACACAGGAAAACAATGTAACAATCCTCATTATCCGGGAAGTTGTTCTACCATTTAACACCAATGGAAACAACATATCAGCTTCATACCAGGTTAGCTTATGATGTGGGCTTTTGAAAGCTTAACTTCTTCCCGGGTTAATAGAACTAAATTAACCAGTTAAACCTTGATTTTTGTTGCCCCCATTCGCATCCAGAATTTCCTTAACCATGGCGTATAGAGTACATATGAGTACCACCAAAGTTTCTGTATTTTTAAGGAGAACACTTCTATTGTAAGGGGCTTGGGGCCCAAATTGTTAAGAGCCTTTACCCCTCCATCCAAGGTCCTAGGTTCGAATCCTCCCTCCCCCACTACAGCATGTGTCAAAAAGGAAAATACTTTAAAAACACAATAGTAAAGATAGTAACAAGATATCCACCAAAAAACAGATACTGCAAATAAATTAAAGACTTATTAGCAGCCACAAACCAAACTTTAACAGTCAAATCATCCCATAGCTGCCTTCCAATGTAGCAGAATAGACTAACAAGAAAATCCCTGAAATTCTGACGAAACAGAAGGCCAAAGTGAAGACCAAAACCTCACCCTTTCCCACAGCCCTTCTACCCCTACCCCCTTATTTTTGTCAAAAATCCCCCTATACCTATCTATCCAAATCACCCACAAAATAGCCATCCAACAGCATCCCCACAACACTTTAGCCTTCTATCCTTTTGCCAAACCCACCATCTCCTGAGCAGATCCCTTCTTTCATTTTCTTGAGTAGATCCTACATATTGATCCGCTTATTAGCCACAAACCAACCCAGAATCTTCACCTTTGTTGGGACCTTTGCACCCCCACAACCGCGCCCCCCCCCCCCCCCCCAACCCCACCCCCCAAATCACCTTGGCTAGAATAAAGGCTGGATTCCGAAGAATTCATCAAAATGAATTAAGATTTGCAAGAGAAATCTCATAATGTTCCAACTTCCAATGCCTCCTATCCCCTCCCATTTTAACACACAACTCCTTCTAGAAGTGCCAATGGAGCTGATAGTTCATCTATCTCTTCATCATTCAAATTATTTCTAAACCCAAAACCCCAACTTCGCCGATAAAAGGGCAAAGATACAAATTTGGCAACTATATTCTGAAACCTGAATAATCTAAATAGCCTTCGAAAAAGCATGGCCAGTTCCCCCACCCACGAACCTCCAATAATCTAAACCACTGTAGTTAAAAAGGACATTAACTGAAATGCTTATATATGCAATTATACCATTTGAAAGGGGTAATTTTCTGAGTCCAGAAAGCAGTACTCCAAAACCATTTGAAAGCCAAAAAAGAATATGCAAAATTCACAGACATTTCTTTTCCCCATAAAAATATCCCAGATAAGTTAATGAGCTCTCACAAAGAACCATGTATGTGAACATTCTGAAGAGTGCAAAACCAATAGCCAAGAACAGTTTTACAGACAACATAGAAGGATTGACCCCAAATCCATGATTTCCACAGAGGGGAAATGGTTCAGAATGGGACTGAAAATTTATTTATAATTAAATGGTAGTTGACCAGTGCAATATAACTAAGTTGTCCATAGACACAAAGCATCCACACAGCCACACTTATTGGAGTTTCGGAATGAACCTGGGCATCCACCCCATCACATGAATAGACAAGTGAACCAGACTTTCCCTCGGACAATAGGCCCAAAACTAATCGGACAGATCTGAGCATTGGTAGAACAGAATTTTCTCCAGCATTCTCTAGGCTGCACATTTAGCGGAAGAAAGTCGGTGAGTCAAAAAGGAAAACTAACATCTCTGTTGGCAAAAGCTATTGCCATGCACTTAGACATCAGGCAATGGGAAACGAGTATCTAAAGTACATGTCTCAGCTATTCAGAGAAGCCAAGAAAATCTTTTTCTCATTGCATAAATATGTAAAAAAGAGTAATATCTAGGAAACCTATATGTAGTTAAACCAAATAAAAGTAAAACATGAACTAACAATTATAAAAATAAAAATAAAAATGAATTGAGCAAAAATTGCTGAATCTGGGAAAATAATAATGCTGGATAACAGCATTCTTCCCCAACCCCAAAACGAAAACCCAACAAAAGTTAGATCTCTAATGAGAGCAGAACAAAACAACAAAAGTGGTGGTACCAGTAGGCTTCTTATTTCTTACCTCTCAAGAAGATCAGTAAAAATCAATCTGAGAGTATCACCTGAGAGCAAAAAAGTATTGTCCTCTAAATGAAGCCCTTTTTTTAAAGCATAGCAAGGAATTGACAGTAGAGATTCTAGGCAAATCCACTGCACCAGTAACAGGAAACTAGTTAATATAGAAAGATCCATCAATACCATAAGAAATTAAGAATAAATTAAGGGACCGTTTGGGAAGTGCTTTTAAATGACTATAAGCGCTTTTAGAGAAAATGTTTTTGGGTTCCAAAAGCACTTGAAGTGCTTCCTGCAAGAAGAAACAGTTATGTGCTTCTTGTAGGAAGTACTTCAAGTGCTTTTCCAGGATTAACTTGCATTTTTACTAAGGATTGGTTCCAAAAACATTTCTCTAAAAGCTCTTTTAGTCATTTAAAAGTACTTCCCAAACGAGCCCTAAGCTTTGTAAAAATGACAAGCACCAGTACAAAAATGCCATAGAATATTAAGGAGAGAGAATAATAGCTGATGTGTTAGTAGTATATAGCAGAGAGACTTCATTTATGAAATTCCAATTTTCAAGATTGTAACAAAAAATTTCTCTTTTTAAATACATGTAGCCAAGACATTAAGATTCCTCACCTTCCAATTCATTAAAACTGCACGTCGAGTCCGTACAAATACTCCAATTGCTAGGAGATTATTTATGTTCTGAAGAAAAGAAAGAACCAAGGAATCTAACAGAGGTTTTCCATCTGATAGAAACAGATTGCCATTGTTCTTGACAAGATCCAACGATTTAGGAGAAAACATAGACACTAGTGCTGTGAGAGCAGGAGCTAATGCTTCATATGCTGCAAGACTTATTTCCGCCCCAGTCTGCTTTGAAGCACACAGACAAGAGACTAAATTAGCTCGTGAAAAACTAAAATCTTTATAAGTAAGTCTTCATTACAACAGAAATCTGCAATTACTTTGAAAAGATACAATTAACATGCAAATTACCTCTGAATCAGTAACTGGAGATGAAACAGTTTTCCAGTAGAATTCCCACATAAAATTAAAAGCAAGATCAAGTGATGCATCAGCTATAAATTGTGCACACCATGATGAGATAGTTGCAAGAGCCTTCATGGAAATTATCTGTTTTTACCAACAGAAGACAGAAAATAAAATATCAACACTAAGATTTTGTAAAAGCACTACCATTACTAAAAGGAAATAATCAATGGTTGCTGAAAGATATTGAAAATGAAAATGCACATAAAACCCTACGTGAATGTTTTAATCATATAAGGTACCACAGTGAAAAGGGCAAACACTAAAAAACGAATGCACTAGATTGAATCCAAAAACAGCTGCTACCAAAGTAAAAAAATTTCTTAAATAACAATCTAAAATATCAAGTTCCCATCATTGATGTAAATCACAATCACAACAAATAAAAACATGGAAAATGGAATAAACAAAAATGAAACATTCTATAAGAAGAGGCACCAGAAGGTGCATGAACAACAAAACATTGTTGACTAAGCTTAACTGTAAACATTTAAAGGTTGCAGTACCAAAATGAAAATGCTAAGGGAAAGTAAAAAGGATCACTCTTACGCTATTAAGTAGTCATATTAACAAAGATATCTGCCAACCGAAATTTGCATGAAGAAGTAAAACAGTAATTAGGTATATAAAACAAAAAGATAATATACACCCAATGTGTTTGCAGATGGTGTTTCAAATTTCAAGCAAGCAAAAGGTAACTAGAGGATACATAATCATACCGCTTGCAACACAGCAGTGGTGGTAGAGGATGACAAACGGCGTTGACTAGGGCCTCCAAGTTTTCCTTTCACTGAACCAGGAAGGCTGGCATCTGCCATCTTAGTGGTATTGGCATGTGAGAATATAGAACAGGACAAGTTTGCCAAAGACACCAACTCCTTCTGCAAGCCAGAGTCCAGACAAACAGAAGAGCCATCAATAACAACTCGAAGGGGAACCACATTATTAAGGAAGAAGTTTACAAGCTTAGTCCAATTTGTTCCCCATACCATTATAACAATAAAAACATTGGTAAACTTCTGGTATAAGTTAAGAGCATCTGGATGACCAAATTGATCCATTAATTCAAGCGCACGAGATTCTGATTTGGTTCTAACTGTAGATCTATATTCAGCGACTCTGTCTTGCATCATCTGAAGCTCCCGCACCAAGCTCAAAGTGACAATGAGAAACTTCACAGGAATTTGATCCAAATTGTTGTTTTCTTGGCAGAGACCAAGAGCATGAGTTTGAATAAACTGAATAAACCAGAAAAAGCAAAGTCAACACCTCCTAGTAGGAAAATCATGAGTAGTTCCACAGAAAAATATGTAAGAAACAGGCCCCAAAAAGATTTGATTTCTCAGACAGAGCATAGTCATGTACTAACCAAAACTGGAAAAATATAAAGGGGACAGAAGCAGAAATTAAATTTGAAGACTACAAAAAAAAAAAAAAAAAGAGGAGAAAAGGTTCACCATCAGTGTAGGTATCAATTGATATTCCTCCTGGCATGTAAGAAAAAGCACTCGTGCCCACCGCTTCGCTTCAAATTCCCAGGATTCCAAGTCTTCATCATCAAAAGTGATGGAACTATCAACTGAATAATGAACTGTAAAACTACTGGGGAATTCATGGAGACCCTTTAGAAGCTTCGTCTCAGTACTGCAGCAGTTGCCATAACAATTCTTCTTACTACACCCCATAAGCCATTCTTGTAATTTCACTCTTAAGGAACCTAGAATTAAGAGAGAGAGAGAGAGAGAGAGAGAGCGAAACGTTGTGAATATCGCGTTTAAGAATGGGAAATACAAGACAAACTCAGGAAACCGAAACACATAATCAAGATAAATAACACCAAGAATTTATGTGGTTCGGCTATGTGCCCACATCCACAGGGCAGCAACAACAAACTTTCACTATATCAATAATGAGTACAACATAATCTTGCCAAGCCTCTAGAATTAAAATAGTAAAGGTAAGACATGTACTTGAGTACATGGTGTACATTGCCAGAGAGTCCGGCAGGGAACATTTATTTATGTCTTGTATAATAAGTGAAAATAAAGACATGTACTCAAGTACACATGTGAACAAGTACGTGCCTGACACATGTGGCATACAATGGATAACTACCTTTACTATTTCAGAGATCCAAAGGAAATTAAGCTGAACAAAAAATGACAAGGATAAAACATACCACCGAAGTCGGTAAATTCCCAAGGAAATGTTGAAATGAAGTGCATAAGTATGTCAAGAGGGAGATCACATGCACACACCACTGAGGTAGCGGACTCCAGGATTTTCTCACAAACTGGAGATATGAAGATGATCAGCTATGCTCTGGTCGTTTAACATATAACAGTAGCAACAGAAGTATTCAATTGTAAGAGACAAAATATTATGATCTAACCGGATTAGTGATTAGAGACCTCGAAGGCGATAATTAGGATTGAAATGTTGTTTGCTGCTCTCGATAAGAAATCTCAGTGCATCAAGTAGAACAACTTTGTCATTGGGAACACTTTCCACTTGGATCATGCCAGGAATCACATCTTCAAGCCACTGTCCTTCACTTTCATTATTATCTGTACGAACTTGACAAGCAGCTGAAGAAATGCATTCAGCAAGACACATTAATCCAACTCTACCAAATGATTGCACCTTAGCAGTGCGTGCTAGATTGATCAGAAATGCAATGCACGTCCTGTCACAATAAGTAGGAAAACAGAAACAGATATCAACCTCATCAAAGCTCAATAAGTCTGTTAAAAAAATAGCAGGTGAGATGAACATGAAAACTGCCCTGAAATTGTAACCATAATTAATGATAACTTATCAATGACACAAGTACTTTCCATCCCTAGCAATAATATGCAATGTAACTTTGATAATAAAAAAACCTAATGAAGGGTGAAAACCAAGTAGATAGATAGTATACGAGAGAACAAGAAAACATAAAACTGAGTGTACAATCTAGTAGCTGCAGAACAAAGAAGTCGTCCAAAACTGACAAATAAAGGCAGGATAGATATCTAACAATAGAGAAAACATAAATATTAAATATTTAAAAAGGATCTGTGTTCCAACTAATTAAACTAATTATTCCCTTCTGAGTGTGCCAAGATTAATCCACTTCAAAGAAAAACAAAATATGACCTAATATAAAAAAGAGTGCAACACCTAATAAAAGGCAGGAACAGTTACAACATATGCATCAAAGCATAACAACAACAACAAAGCCTTATCCCACTAAGTGGGGTCAGCTGTATGAATCCTAGAATGCCATTGCTTTTGGTTTTGCACCAAGTCTTCCGTTAACTCCAAGTACTCCATGTCTTTTCTTAAAGTCTCTTTCCAAGTCTTCCTAGGTCTTCCTCTACCCCTTTTTCCCTAAGCCTCTGTCTCATAATCGCATTTTCTAACCAAAGCATTTGTAGGTCTTCATTTCACATGTCCAAACCACAAAACTGAGCGTAGTGACGTTCTAGGATTCATGTAGCCAACCCCACTTAGTGGGATCAACTAACTAAACTAATTATTCCCTTCTGAGTGTGCCAAGTCTTCCTAGGCATCAAAGCATAACAATCCAAAACAAAAAGTAATGCATTCAATCAGCCGTACATGTACTATAATTTTTTTTTAAATGTAAAATTTATAGTGCTATACCTAACCAATAAAAAAAAAAAAAAAGGTCGTACCCAGTGCACAAGGCTCCCGCTTTACGCAGGGTCTGGGAGAGGTGAAGTGCTATACCTAACCAATATGAGCAGAAATCAATTAAAATCAGAACAGAGGGCTTCCACACAAAAGGCACTAGATATAAACACACAACATGAATCTTTTTTCATTTTTATCTAAAATAAAATCTTATTGACTTCTGATGAACCGAAGTTACATAAATAATCGAACAAGAAGGCAACTTCATTGTAATATTACAAAATCCCCACCCCCAGTAAAACAAACAGCCCCACTACATCCCTTAACAAATTAAAACACTCATTACCACAGACCCCAGTCCTATCTTACAGCAACCTCTGATCTGGCACTATGATAAAGACAGATAAATCCCCAAAAGCATGGAAGCCCATAACAATGACCACAATCGAACTTTTTCCCACAACACCTCCATATCATCCCCAATATGACCCTGAATAAAAATAAAAATAAAAACCTTAAATTTCTCCCCCTCCAAATCACCCAAACTATTGCCAACCGCCACAGTTCCACAACACATTACCAAGGCCTTACAGTTTTACCACAGAAAAAGGAGGAGGGGGAGGGCGTCAGGTAGTCGACAGCCGGCACTCCATGATCACGTTGAATCCTTATGAAAATGAATCCAGAACGAAATCGCGCTAAAGCTAGGGCGTCACCCGTAAGTGGCGCGCTGTGTGGCCCGAGCACAGTGATAAGTGAGCAAGGGTCGCTGTATCTCCATCGGCACCCGGATGCAGTGTTAAATGAGCAAGGGGGCCATAGAAACTTCTTTTCGAACGACTCCACTCAAAGTTGTTCGGGAGCATATGCTCCTATCAACTTTACACGGGACACACAAAAGAAGTACTTTGATCCTATTAGACGGGGGAGGGTGAAGAAGCTAGGATAGAAGGGTAGAGTTCAAGAGAGCAAAATGCGTTTAGGAACGTGGAATATAGGAACCTTGACGGGAAAATCTATGGAAGTAGTGGAAGTTATGGTGAGGAGAAGGATAAATATTATGTGCCTACAAGAAACTAAGTGGCTTGGTCGTAAGGCAAAGGATCTAGAAAACTCAGGGTTTAAACTATGGTATTCGGGCACAAATAGAACGAGAAACGGTGTTGGCATCATCGTGGACAAGACCTTGACACAAGATGTTGTAGATGTCAAGAGGGTAGGAGATAGAATCATGGCAATCAAGATTGTAATAGGACAAGAACTTATCAATGTGATTAGTGCGTACGCACCTCAAGTAGGGTTGGATACGAGTTCGAAGGAGAAATTTTGGGAAGACCTTGGAGACTTGGTGCAAGGAATTGCTCAGACGGAGAAGTTATTTATAGGAGGAGATTTAAATGGACACGTGGGCAGGGAGACAGGCAACTATGGAGGTTTTCATGGTGGCTATGGTTTTGGGGAGAGAAACGAGGATGGGGAAGCTATCTTGGATTTTGCAATGGCATATGATCTCTTCTTAGCCAACACCTTCTTTAAGAAGAGAGAAGAACATGTGATCACCTACAAGAGTGGGTCGTCAAAAACACAAATAGATTTTCTTCTAATGAGGAAAGGGGATCGTATAACTTGTAAGGATTGCAAAGTTATACCAGGAGAAAGCGTGGCTAATCAACATCGCTTGTTGGTGATGGATGTACATATCAAAAGAGTGAGAAAAAAGAACAAGACTTGGAAGTGCCCAAGGACTAGATGGTGGAATCTAAAAGAAGAAAAACAACCCATTTTCAAAGAGAAAGTAATCACCCAGTGTGTGTGGGATAGAGAGGGGGAAGCTAACCAAATGTGGGATTCCATGGCTAGTTGTATCCGAAAAGTAGCAAAAGAGGTATTAGGAGAGTCCAAGGGCTTTGCCCCACACCAAAAAAAATCTTGGTGGTGGAATGAGGAGGTACAAACAAAGGTGAAGGCTAAGAAGGAATGTTGTAAAGCCTTATACAAGGATAGGACCGATGAAAATGGTGAAAGGTATAGAAAAGCGAAGCAAGAGGCGAAGAAAGCTGTGAGAGAAGCTAAGTTAGCGGCTTATGACGATATGTATAAGCGACTAGATACCAAAGAAGGAGAGTTGGATATCTATAAACTAGCCAGAGCAAGGGAAAAGAAGACAAGGGACCTAAACCAAGTGAGGTGCATCAAGGATGAGGATGGAAAGGTTCTTGCTACAGAGAACGCGGTTAAAGACAGATGGAAAGGTTATTTTCATAATCTTTTCAATGAAGGACATGAAGGGAGTGCATCTTTAGGGGAGTTGAGTAACTCAGAAGAGTGTAGAAACTACTCTTTTTATCGTAGAATCCGGAAGGAAGAAGTGGTTGTAGCTTTGAAGAAGATGAAGCATAGAAAAGCAGTAGGCCCAGACAAATATACCAATCGAAGTGTGGAAAGTTTTGGGAGAGACAGGTATAAACATGGCTCACTGACCTTTTCAATAGGATTTTGAAAACGAAGAAGATGCCAAATGAGTGGCGAACGAGCACTTTGGTGCCTATCTACAAGAATAAGGGCGACGTACAAAATTGCATGAACTATAGGGGTATTAAGCTAATGAGTCATACAATGAAGCTCTGGGAGAGAGTCATTGAGCATAGATTGAGGCAAGAGACACGGGTTTCGGACAACCAATTCGGGTTCATGCCAGGGCGCTCAACCATGGAGGCAATCTATCTCTTACGAAGATTGATGGAAAGATATAGAGATGGGAAAAAGGATTTACACATGGTCTTTATAGATTTGGAAAAAGCGTATGATAGGGTCCCAAGAGACATTCTTTGGAGGATTTTAGAGAAGAAAGGAGTACGAGTAGCATATATCCAAGCTATAAAGGATATGTATGAAGGAGCAAAGACTGCCTGTAAGAACTCATGAAGGACAAACCGAAAGCTTTCCCATAACTGTAGGATTACATCAAGGCTCATCCTTAAGTCCTTACCTTTTTGCGTTGGTAATGGATGAGTTAACAGGACATATTCAAGATGATATTCCTTGGTGTATGCTTTTCGCAGACGATATAGTGTTGATAGATGAAACTCAGGAAGGGAGTAAATGCAAAGCTTAACCTTTGGAGAGAAGTGTTGGAATCTAAAGGTCTTCGCCTAAGCCGATCAAAGACAGAAATATATGGAGTGCAAGTTCAGTGCAAATGCAGGCCAAAACGAGTTAGGGGTGAGGATCGGAGATCAAGAAATACCAAAGAGCGACCGTTTTCGTTACCTAGGATCTATCTTGCAAAAGAACGGAGAATTAGATGGAGATCTCAACCATAGAATACAAGCTGGATGGATGAAGTGGAAGAGTGCATCCGGCGTGTTGTGTGACCGCTGTATGCCATTGAAGCTCAAGGGAAAATTTTATAGGACGGCAATAAGGCTGGCGATGCTGTATGGCACAGAATGTTGGGCGGTGAAGCATCAACACGTACACAAAATGGGTGTAGCGGAGATGAGGATGCTTCGTTGGATGTGTGGGCACACGAGAAAGGATAAGATTAGGAATGAGGATATCCGGGGTAAAGTAGGAGTAGCCGAAATTGAAGGAAAGATGAGAGAAAATCGGTTACGATGGTTTGGACATGTGCAAAGAAGGCCTACTGACGCTCCGATTAGAAGATGCGACTATGGGACAGAGGTTCAGGGCCGAAGGGGTAGAGGAAGACCTAGGAAAACTTTGGAAGAGACCCTAAGAAAAGACTTAGAATACTTGGATCTAACGGAGGACATGACACAGGACAGAACACAATGGCGTTCTAAGATTCATATAGCCGATCCCACTCAGTGACTTGGATTTTCCAAGTCTCCAACCGAGAAGTTTTCTTCACTCGGGAAATTAAGGGAACACTACCTCAACCTACATGCTCCACTCACAAAGCTTCAACATACAAGCTTCAACAAAAGAAAATTCAAAGAACTTAGCGAAGAAGGCTTTGGTGTATTTAACACAATACATTGAAATGAAGGAAAACTTATTTATTGATATCCCCGATAAGTTACA